GTGCTCGAAATAGTGGTTCTCCTAGGTTCTCAATTCGTCGGTATATTTTTTTATGTGTTTGTTCAGCGATCATTCTTTAACATGTTGTTCGATTTTAAAGATTCTTTTTTTGTTAGAAAGAAGGTATTTTAGGGGTGGTCCCATATACATTTGGTCAAAATCTAATAATTGGGTCCATGAGAAAATCCTCAAACACTTCGTTTTTTATGTATGTTCAGCGATAATTTTTTACCACCTTGTCCGATTTCTATGCTTCTTTTTTTGTTAGTAAGAGGGTACCTCAGGTTTGGTCCCGTATAAATTTGTTAAGATGTGGTAATTGCATTTGCACGATTTTGAGGTCGGTTTTTTAATATTACTTTTAATACTTGTCGACATTATAATAATAAAAAGTATGGTAAAAGCACGTTTTAGCATATAATATTGTGCTACATCTAGTGTAAATATTATTTGATTATTTGATTAGTATAGAATTCTGTAGATTTACCTAAGGCTGCCTTAAGTTGACTGGTATAGTCAGACCGGCCGCTGAACAATTTAGTCAAAACTGTTCAGTAGTACAAGACAATACAAGATAATTTAGTGAAAAATTGAAATGGGATTTGTTTGGGAAATCCTTGGGCATTTATTCATCTTAATTTTCGAATATTTTTCGCAATTTTAAAACCAGTTCTTTCAGTCTTTGTTTGCGTTGTAACGCATATTGGAAAATTAATACATTTCAGACGACCTGAGGAAGTGTCTGCATGCGGTTGCATGTTTCCTCAAACGATGTTGTACAGTAGTTTGTTGAGGAATTGAAAATTTTCTGAAACGCGAGGTGGGTTTCGAAATCCTGATTTCATCTTAACAATTTGGAAATCATTGACTATGTCAGCGCTAGCTCAATTGGTAAGAGCGCTGTGCATAGAACAGGAATAGGTAGGTTAAAATCCCCACGCGGGAGGAATATTTTTCAATTTTTTTATTTTTTTTTTTTTCACCTTGGGAGTTCAAAAATAATTACCATTATTTAATTGGTTTAATATTGGGATTTATTTTGGAATTTCCTAGTAATTTATTTATCATATTTTTCGAAAATTTAAACAATCAGTTTCTGGTACTTTAAACCGATTTTCTCACTATTTTATTTTCGTTGAAAGAATCTTTGTGAAATATTTTAGTTCACAGATGCGTTCTACGTCGATAACTTTGACCATTAGCTCCGTGTTCTCTGTAGGTTATGGAAAGCCAGTACTCAAATACTCCCACAAGCCTACAGACAGACATTGTTACTGTTTCCCAGAGCCACTTTGGCATTGTTAATTAGAACCCAACTGTGAACAGCCGGAGTGGGGAATCCTATCTATGCCTTCGTTGAATAATGATGCCCTGTTAAATTTAGTATGATCTGAATGACAGGAATTTAAAATTTTTGAGTCTAAACATCTTCAACTCCAACTAGACGGTGATAAAGCACATTGTGAGCTTCCTTTTTAAGTTATTTATTGTCTCGGCCTTTACTTGATGAAAATACATTTTATCTTGAATGAGTAAAACCAAATTTGGTAGATTTTCACAAAACTTTTATTTTAAAAAATAAAAAATAAAAATTAAAAACACTACACATGACATGTTTCGAAGTACAACTTCTTTTTCAAATGTGACTAATTTAAAATTCGGTATCCAATATATATGCGAAATAATTTAACAAAACAAAGTACTTAAGAAAACATCAATAACATAACAATATAAACTAACTATTTAAAGTGAATAAGGGTACTTAGGTAATTATGATATCAATCAGATAACAATAAGATAGTAACATTACCGGGATTATCTCACAGAAAACTAGGAAAGAGATTTAATAAGGGTGAGTTATTAATATCTAATTGATCATTGAGTAGGTTATCTGAATTTTTAAATCTATTTATAAGTGTTTCTAAATGATTTAGTTTATTGCCCTTATTTTCTATATGTAAAATTTCAAAGTTGTCTGTAAAAGAATGATTTTCAGCTAAAATATGATTTGAGTAAGTAGAATTCTTTTTGTTTTTTGTATAGCTATTATAATGTTCGGAATAGCGCTTTTTGAAAGTACGGCCTGTTTGACCAATATACAGTTTTGGACAACTACCACAATTTAATTTATATACCCCCGATTTATTATTAGGATTAATTTTACCCTTATTGTTTTTAATATACTTCCCAAGCGTATTATTGGTTTTAAAAGCTACGTTAATATTTTGGTTTTTTACTTTTATTTATTTTACTTTTCACTAGGAGCTCCTATATATGTAAGATTCTTATATCTGCAATTTTGATCTTTAATTATGGGATAAACTTGTTGAATAGCATATTTAAAAAGTTTTTTCTCTAAAATGTTGTTTACTAACTTTGAATTAAAGTTATTGTTTACTGCGATTTGTTTAATGATATTTAGCATACTGTTGTATGCTGCCAGCTTTTGTTTGTATGGATGAGATGAACTATTATTTATTGTAATATTAGTATGTGATGGCTTATGAAATATCCCAAAACTATGGCGTTTATTATTTTAATAATATTTAAGTCTAAAAAATTAATTGAATTATCCTTCTCTTTCCATAGTAAATTTAATATTAGGGTGTATAGTATTGATAAAAACTAATAAAGAATTTAACTGTCTACTAGTACCAGTAAAAGCAGTCAGTATATCGTCAACATATCTAATCTATGCCAATAAAGACAATGTTTACTTAAATTATTGCTATGAATTTTATGTTCTATTATCCATAAATATTTCCGCAAGCAACGGGCTTAATGAGTTCGACATAATAATACCTTCATTTGCTAAGTAGATGTTATTTTGAAATTGAAAATAATTTTGTTTTAGGCAAATGTTTAACAAATTTAGGATTTCTTCTTTGATTATAATATTGACTTGATTACGATCTAATAAGTTTTCTACTAGCTTAACTGTTTGTTTAGGAGGTATACTAGGAAATAAGTTTGTTACATCGAACGATACTAATTTTGTGTTACTAGGTAATTTAATGTTTTTTAATTTTTCTGTTAATTCATAAGAATTTTTTATACTATACTTTGAATGGAATTTGCAGTTTTCTTGTATAAGTTTAATTAAGTTAAGGTAATCTTAAAAAATGCAAAAATGAATGTAGTTTCTTCTTTTTTATGTTTATTGTTATTTCCATTTTTTGTACTTTATAAACAAGTTATTAACGCTTTTGTTGCGAGCAAACTTTTTTGTTTTTTTTTTATTTTATTTTTTAAATTGGTAAAGCTCATAAATTATTTTCAAAATAATAATTTTATGTTAAAGACCTATAAATCGTCGTGCTTAAATTTCGTCTTCATGCGAAGGCCACTCGGGAATTATAATAAAGTTATATAAAGTCCAGTATTTTTTTTAAAATCTTGAGACAATTAATAAAATTATTTATTTTTTGTTAATAAATTTAAATATAGTGTCGCAAAATGTCTGCACCAAGAAAACATGAAATTAGATATTTCTTTAATCTACGTAAAAAAGTGCAAATTAAAAATAAACAATTTTTACTGAAAACTATTAAGTACAGGGTTATTCATAATAAATTACCCATCTTTTATACCATAATAAATAATAATTATTATTAATATTTATATTTAATGAATTTTGTTAAAATACCATTAACAATACAGTGGCCACATCAGTAGCGGGTATATTTCACGAGATACAACACAAATACGATTTTTAAATGGGATAGCCTATATATTTTATTTAATTTTAGGAATGATCTTTTTTGATTATTTAAACATCAAATATCTTAGTTTTGGTAAATATTTAACACTTTTTTCTCACTGTAAACTATTTTGATTATTTTATTAAAGTAATGTCACTTTTATCAAACATAAATAGTGATTTTCATAGCTTTCTCAAAAAAAAAAAAAAAATAATAATAATACTGAAACATGCAATTTTTATTGTAAGTGCTGAATTTAAAAATGTTTTTAGAATTTTTTTTTAGATATGGTTTAGAAGCCAAAACAAATAATTTTAAAAAATATTAAGTACCTATAGCATACTTAAAGAAAATAAAATAATACTTGGTTAAGTATGATATTCTACTATAAATATTACGCTTTGGGGATGTACCTTTTTATCAAATGAATTTTAAATAGCAACGTTGTTAACCAATATAATCTATCTGTTCACCCTATTTTACTTTAAAAAATTGCTCTGTCATCGGTGATAAGTGATAAAGAATTATGAAAGTTTGATGTTTTTACCCCAATAAGTCTTTAAGGTAGGTAATTATGTAGAGTTTTTAACTGATACAGAAAGCCCTGTATTTTTTTCATTAAAATAAAAAAGATTTGCCACTCTGTATACGGTTTTAAAAATTATAAATTTCATGTTTGGTTAAATGTTTTATGATAATTTTCAGAAAATTTTAGGTTAATTAAATTTTTGTGGCAATTTTTCTGAAAAAAATATTTATCTTCGATTACCCGAAAAGACAAATAAAAAAAATGTTTTTAAATTCTATTAAAGATAGAATAACTACTAACAATACCAAACATGATTTTGATTCCTGTTCTGTGATTATGGAGCATTCTCTATAGTCGAGAGTATTTAGCAGATATAATTGACCTATCCTGAAAAATATAATAATAAATTTGTTTCGTTTATAAAAATCGTATAATTTTCTGATTTCTACAAAAATACAATATGTATATTAACTGGAAGAAACAATTTGTTATATGTAAATGTTATTACGGTCATTACTATAGCGATCTTCTTAGAATATACACATGTTTTTATATATCAATAAAATTCGAGTTATCAGCTGATAACCCTTTACGATTTCTATTAAAAAAATAATTCACAGAATTTAAATACAAACTTTGTATAAAAACAGATTGTTTGGGGCATTCTTTGTAGTAAACAAAATGCTGTTAAATCGTGTATTGATTGTTCTCTTTCTTCCTTTTTGTTTTACAAAATCTGTGGACGTAACTTTCAAGGGAGTTACGTTTAGGGGGTACAGTGTGTTTACAGAAAAATTTAAACTTACTATTCCGTCTGGTAACCGCCTTAAGGACTTTTTGCCAAAATCCATTTATGATGATATTGAAATAAAAAACCAGACTATTCCTGTTCTCTATAAGGATTCGTTGGCTGATTTGGGAAATTTGGATGAACTTGTGATTGAATTTTGTCACGTAGAAGAAATACGACCCGGAGCAATCAGTAATGTGCCAATGTTAAGGAAGTTATCTTTTAAAGGTAAAAATTTAGGCTTGTAAAATTATTTATTTGTTAATTCTATGTATGTTTGTGATGCCATTTGAGAAAAAGCGTAAAACATTTTTTTTGTATTTTCCTTGACAATAAAGGTCTGAAAAACTGTTTCGAATAAAACGAGAGTGGATTTTTTAATTTTTAATTCATTTTGAACGTGTCACTACACCTTTTCCAATTGTAGTTCAAAAATGTAGCAATTGTATTTCCAAATATTCATTGGAATATCAAAAAGACTTATTTGAATTTCCAAATTACTACTTGAATTTCATAGTGTATCAATTGTATTTCAAAAAGCGTAAAGTTAATTTCAAAAGTTATCAATTGTATTTTGAATTAATCAAATTAATTTCATAGATTACAAAATTGTATATAATACTTATAGTCCAAAGTCATTGGTTTGTGAAATAGAGACAAATGGTATATCAGAATCTAAAATTTTATTAAAAAAACAGCATAGGGATTCTTATTAGCAAACTTGTCACGATTCATATAGAATGGAGAGAAACATTACATAAGAATAGCAATCTGTTGAACGAAGATAGGCGTCTTGATAAGTGAGATATCGAAAGTTGAGAATTCTACTGCTGGACTAATATACGTGGTAGGTTTTTATTAATATAATTTTTTTGGCATGTATTGGTTTGGTTCACAATAAAATTAAAAGTTTGTTAGTCCAATCCTTTCAATAAAATTTTAGAATTAAAATTGTTGATATAACATTTATCCTCAATTCACAAAGCAATGTCTTTGGACTATAAGTTTAACATACATTTTTGTACTCCTCTATTATTATGGAATTTAAAAATAAAGCAAATAATATTATTATGGTGTTCTATTTAAAAACAAAATAGATGACGTCATGTACACGAAAGGGGTGACGTCATTAGTACATCCAATTGAAGTGTTGGACGCGCAGTTGAAAATAAAAATTGACCCGTGACAGGATTTTTTTTTAAATATTGTTACACTGAAAAAAATTGAATTTATTCCGACCTTAGATAAAAGAGACCAGAGATATAACATACACCGGTGTTTAACCTGCGCAAATGTTGCCAATTTCTAAAGAAAGGTTAACGAAGTGGAGGAACTGGGCAGGGACCCGAACTCTGTGACAGGGACCGGACTTTGTTTATTAGCATCATAATGAACTATTAGATTTATTTAAAATATACGTTCAATGGAATTTTGTATTATTAAATAAATTTAACGTGATTTTTAATATCAAATAGATGCCACGACATTTTATGTAAAGAGAATACCTTTTATAGAATATTTCGATAGCTATTATTTACTACAGACTTTTCTGTAAGAGACTACAGTAAAATGTTTATTGTTAATCGAGTAAGAAATGGTACTCATTGTCTAAGAGTATTATAAAAAAAGCATGTGCGCAGGCGAATACTGCAAATCAAACTTTGTGATTTAAACATTATATTTTTTCTACGACTATCACATAATATTAAAAGTTAGTCAAAATAAGAAAATGCTGTTTTGTATTATAACCTCAAAAAAGATATATTAAAGCTTGTTTCTTTAGGAATATTAATTGATATAGAGAATGAGTCACATAAAACTCTAGAAATGCATATGTCTGAAACCAGATAACATTTTAAAATTTAAACCTATTAAAAGTCATTTGGTCGCTAGGAGTGGGTGAATATCGAAACAAATTATTGATTATTAATAATAATCGATTATTTTTCATCAATCGATTATTTTCAAACAATCTATTTTTGTTCGTATTTCCTTTAAAATCGACTACTTGATTATCTTTGAAAAATCAAAAATAATAGATTAATTAAAAAGTCAATTAACCGATAAATCAGTGTTTACAAGAAATAATAAACGAATTATCGTTTATTTTAAATAATCGATTATTTTTAAATAATCTATTTCTTTTTCGTATTTCTATTGAAACAGATTATTCGATCTTTGAAAAATCTAAAATATTCGATTAATCAAAAATAATCGATTAATCAAAAATAATCGATTAATTAAAAAGTCGAATAATCGATAAATCGATTAAAAAAAATTATTTCCTTTAAAATCAATTATTCGATCATTTTTAAAACATCGAAAATAATCGCTTAATCGAAAATAATCGATTAAGAGAAAATAACACATATCTCATTCAAAATTAATGCTTTGATTATCTTTGAAAAATCGACAATAATCGATTAATAAAAAGCTATTTGACCGCTAAATCGATAATTCTAAAAAATTACCGAAATATCTATTATATAAAATAACCGATTATATTCGATCAATCGATTATTTTCATATAATCTATTTTTTCGCATTTCTTTTAAAACAAATTACTCGAATACCTTTTAAAAATTGAAAATAATCGATTAATCAAAAATATTTGGTTAATCGAAAATAACCGATTAAGCGAAAATAACCAATTAATTAAGACGCCGATTCTACGATAAATCGATTTTCAAAAAAAAAAAAAAAAAAAAAATAACTGAATTATTGATTATTTACAAATAATCCTTTTCTTTTCTCATATTCCTTTTAAAATTGATTATTTAATTTTCTTTAAAAATAATCGATTAATAAAAAGCTGATTGACCGATAAATCGATAATTCTAAAAAATAATCGAAATATCGATTATATAATATAACCGATTATATTCGATCAATTATTTTTATATAATCTATTTTTTGTATTTTAAAACAAATTATTGGAATACCTTTGAAAAATCTAAAATAATCGATTAATCGAAAATATTCGGTAAATTGAAAATAATCGATTAATTTAAAAAGTCGATTAAACAATAAATCGATTTTTTTTAAAACAAAAAAACGATTATTTTCAATAAATCGAATATTTTGAATAAATCTACGCTTTTTGTAATCCCTTTATAATCGATTATTCCATTACCTAAAAAAAACTAAAACAATTTATTGAAAATAAATCGAACATTAATCGAAAGTAATCGATTAAAAATAATCGATTAATTATAACGGATAAATCGATTTTCAAGAAAACGATAAATCGATTATTTTTGTAACTCCTATCCATACGCAGCTTTGGTGTGGTGGCCAAAGACACAGCAAAGGAAAGCAATAACGAGGCTAAGCAAGGTACAAAGACTTGCCTGCCTCGGAATAACGGGGGCAATGAAAACAACCCCCACTGCTGCAATGGAAGCACTAATAGGACTTCCACCTCTTCACTATGTGATACAAGGGGAGGCAAGTTTAGGTGCTTACAGATTAGGGAATACACTGGGAAATCTTGACATTAGGCCAGATCACATGAGTATCTCAAGGTTAGTGACAGGAGACGTGCTAGACATGAGATCAGACCACATAACCAAGAGGTACTCTTTTAATACTCCCTTTGAGGTTTTAATACAGGAAAGAGCGGAGATCACCATAAGGGAGCCCAATGCCCAACGACAGGAACAAACCTGGTATACAGACGGGTCTAAGACTGCGGAAGGCACTGGGGCAGGAGTATTCTCCAAAAACCCTGATACTAACCATAGCTATGCTATAGGAATACATTCCTCGGTATTTCAGGCAGAGGTATACGCAATTTTGCAATGTGCAAAAACGAACAATGAAAGAGCTGTCGAAAATCAGCATATTCAAATAATGTCAGACAGCCAAGCGGCACTTAAGGCCATATCGAGTCAGAAAGTTACGTCGAGGCTGGTATGGGAATGCATCGAAGAACTAAGAACACTGGCAGACCGAAATAGAGTAAAACTATTTTGGGTGCCAGGTCACAAAGAGATCGAAGGCAACGGAAAGGCTGACGAACTTGCAAAAAGAGGGTCAGAAGAAACACCGGAACCAGACACAAACCCAGGAGTACCAAAAAGTACAGTCCGGGGTTTTATAAATGACTGGATTCGGGAACAACATATCAACTATTGGGGAAGCACCCCAAAACAGGCACATGGAAAAGCCTTCATAGGCAGACCATGTCCCAAAAGAACTGGAGAACTACTCTTAATGAATAGGAACCAGTTGAAAGTGATAACAGGGTTCATGACTGGGCACGCCCCAGTAAAGGGACACTTGAAAAAAATTGGCATGTACAATGGGGAACTCATGTGCCGACTAGGTCACAAGAAACCAGAAACGGCCAAACACATACTGTGCGAATGCGAAGCTCTAGATCGCAAAAGACAGGCTCTTTTTGGACAACCCCAGGTTGATCCAACAACGTATAGAACCCTGTCACCCAAGGATCTGTACAAACTTGTACAAGGTACAAAGGTGATAGAGTGGGTGCTATGAACTAACATGGGGTAAAACACAATAAGCCAATAGGCTTCAGTGTTATTCGGAGACACATAGTCAGACGAGCCCAGGAAAAAAAAAACTCCTATCGATTGCATGCTTTTATCCGAGCATTTAGCTCCAAAATTTAGAGATTCGGATTTATTGATCCTGTTATCTTTGAAACCGCATTCGCTTGTATAATAAATATTGCTAGAATTTAGATTTTTTTAGTAAATTTTTTTTCGAGTTGTTTAGGGGTTTATAATGCAACATTTTACTAATAATATGACTAATTTTTATGCTTATACTAGATCATATTGCGCGTTTTACTTTGTTTTAAGACTTAAGATTCAAATGTCACTTCCGATTTAACCACAAATAAAATGAACCTTGAAATTTTAAGTAGGTATTTCATCTAATATTCTTGTAAAAATATCCAATAAAGGGCTAAAAACCACTTTTAGTAAATATTCTTATAAAACTACTTTTTAAAAACAAAATTTCGTTAGTAACAATGCCTATTTACTTCTTATTTAGAATAAATGTTTAAAATTCTACTCTTTTGTAAATTAATACATTATGAAATCTATTTTCTGAAATATTATGTATTTGATGCTTAATATTTATTGAAACCTCTTAATGCGGATCTGAAGTATTCAGCTCAAAGCACATACTTTGATTACTATACGGTGCAAGAGAGAGGTCCGACACGCCCAACATAAGGCGTGGCCATTTTGATTCCTATGCCACAGTTTATAGCTAAAGAATCAGATCGCTCACTCTGCGTCGGCACTTTTGATATCAATGTTCCAGTTTATACACTGCGCAACTCGGATAATACAATACATGATAACCGCCTATAATAAAACAGCAGTCTTCTGCGTATCCTGAATTTGTATCCCTGGAGTGGATGTTATTTTGGAACTTTCAACTGGTACGAGTGAGCTAACTGATTCTTTAGCAATAAACTGTGACTCCAAAAATAATATTCACTGACACTGACAGCAGCAAGCAAAATATCAGGTGCGTTTTAATCATCCGCTTCTGCTTCCGGAATTGTCGGTTTAGTCGTTTTAACATGTCAGATTAAAACAAGAAAACCGGCAATTCCGAAGCAGAAGCGGATGATTAAAACGCACCTATTAAAAATATTGCGCCAAGATGTAGGCAACACGTAATAAGGGATCAAAATGGCTCCTTTTAAAAGGCACTCAGAAAGCTGAGCAGTGCGACCATTCTCCGTATAGTAAAAGAAAATCAAAGTATGTGGCTCAAAGAATCATGGCGACTTTATGTCAAAACGTCAACAAATATTTACCGCTGAAAACGAATATATTTCTTATTTTTCATAACATTGACACTTATATTATTTGTATATACAATTTTTCACCATACATCGTGGCATTTTCAATTTGAAATTGAATAACTAAAACACTTTAAATTGCTAATAACACCAACAAATAATTCAAAAAACGGCGGTCCATAAATGATTTACTTACGCGGAGACAAGCATAGAATAGAAATTTCGGAGCAATTCGGGTGGCGTCTTGAACACAATGATTTTTAATTGGTGGGTTACTTAGGGTTGGAATAGACAACGTGCACGATGTGCAATGTTACATCTCCGATTTCTTTTATCTAAGATTCCAACCTATACGTCCTCACTGTATATCATTTAAGAGTGAATTTGAACCTCAAAATAAATTTGAAAGGCAATTGTAGTATCTGCTGAATTTTGATGTTGAGAAGTAATGTGTTAAAAGTTCTTCCGTGCAATCCCTTTTTTCAAGTAACTTGCTCAGAAAAAATCATCAGCACCTAGAAAAAGTTATTTAATACGATGTACATAATGTTCAGGTGTACTTTCTATGAGAACATGGGAATAGTATTATGTAGATTTATTTTGAAATACAAATAATAAGTTTTAAAATTAAAATAATGAATTTTGAAAATCAATTGAAATTTTTTGGAAAATATATGACAAACTGAAATATATTTGACATATTTTGAAAGTAAATTGATAATTTTGAAATATATTTGAAACTTTTTTAAATAAAATTGACTAATTTGAAATACAATTGAGGCATTTTAAAATTGAATTTGATAATTTCGAAATACATTTGATACTTTTTTTTAAATCAAATTGACTAATTTCGAAATTAATTTGACGCTTTTTGAACTACAGTTGGAAAAGGTGTAGTCATCAAAATTTGTTGGTGGATTATGCTTTGGTGTACATCAAAAAAGGGAACGCTTTTCCGTGAAATTGTGATTTATGAATCATTTGTCACAAATAATGAACGGTTTTCGGTGAAGTTTCTGGTGTTCCTTTCTGACAACTAAAAGTTAGGTTAAAATCTACAATCTGTTTTTTACTACAAAAATATTTTATTGTGCATTTGCTTTTGATAGAAAAAAAAAACAACCCAAATAATTCGAGTAGTTAATTCAGCAGTTACCATTGCAAGAAGAAAATTTGACGATGATTCTGATTTAGATGAGAATGATATAGAAAATCATTGTTTTTTTGTTCGTCGTGCAATACTTATAAATATATGTCACTGTCAATCATAAAATTACAAACCACAAAATCACGCAAGATGTATCTTCCGTGATAGAACATTCTTTTTCCTGCAACTGCCGTACCACGAGATCTATTCCACTACAATCCAACGACAATTTTATAGTGTGGAAATAATTGACGTTCAACGGTACTTGTTACATAAAAATATAAAATATACACAAAATCGTTATTCATAAAAACCTACATTTGTACCACAGTTTATAGCTTAAAAGAATCAGTTCGCTCACTCGGACTAATTGGATGTTCCAAAATAACATCCGCTCCAGGGATACAAATTCAGAATGCGCAGAAGACTGCTGTTTGAATATAAGCGGTTGTCATATATTGTATTAGGCATTCCAAACAAATGAACTGCCAGTGGGAAGATTTGATATATCCAAGGGTTGCGACATACGATGTATTCTGTCTAGAATACGTAAAATCATGAATAATGAATTACGTTTAAATATTTTATGTCAAACACAATAAAAATAAGATAAATTTTTTCATAAATTGGCAGGCTTTGTGACTATTATTTAGAATAAAAAAAAAACGTTCAAGATACAAGACTATGTCTCTATCCCCTTAGATATACCAGACCTTCTCACTCACAGCTATTGTTTGACAGGTAGTTGGAATGCTTCATTGGTAATAGTAAGAGAGCCCACTGAAAATTACGACCGCCATCTGATAACAAAACGAAATATGCTCCAAAGACATGTAACAGCATTGTACTTTACCAAATTGCACCTGTGCCAATCTGTAATCCACAGCAAAGTGGTTAAAAAAATTATTTTATATTCAAAAAAATTACATAAGACATAACAGCGATAATTGTGCTTTCTCTGAAAATTACAATCCTAATTCATTGTGAATTATTAATATTTTTACCTAACTTACCTTATGTGATTTTTTTAATATAAAATATATTCATTTAAAACACTTTGCTCAGGATTGGGATTGTTACAGGTACCATTCGGTAAAGAACAATGTTTTTATAAGCTTTTGGGGTATATTTTATTTCATTATCAGATGGCGGTAAAAATTTACAGTAGTCCCTTGGGCTATTATGATTTGATTCTGTATGCGCCAGGGATACAAATCCTAGTTGCGCAATGTATAAACTGGAACATTGAGGTCAAAAGTGCCGACGCAGAGTGAGCGAACTGATTCTTTTAAGCTATAAACTGTGTTTGTACTCTATAAAAAAAATCAGGTTGCTGTGACTTCCATCCATTTGACAAAATTTCATATTTATAAGTTCTAAACAAGAAATGCCTAAGACAAATTGGCTTTTCAAAATTGATTGGAAAATTCCAAGTTTGATATATATATATACTAAATATAAAATCTATTTTTTAAACATAATCTAGTTTATTTTATTATTCCTCTAACCCAAAATAATTTTCTTTATTAACATATATTTACATTACAGGTAACGACATAAAAAGCATTGAATTCGGAGTTTTCAACAATCTAAAGATTTCTACATTAGATTTGTCGTCAAATAAAATATCAAGCATACATGCTAAAGCATTCAACGATATGCCGGACCTACTCAATATTCAACTAGCTGACAACTTTATCCAAATATGGAATCCAGAATGGTTTAAAAACACACCCTTACTAACAAGAATTTCAATGCAAAATAACAGAATAGAAGAAATACCAGCTTATGCTTTTAAAAATATGAAAGGAATAAAAAAATATGGAAACCTTGATCTAACAATTAACTTTGTTTTCAGCCACAATCAAATCAAAAACATAAACCCCAAAGCATTTTCAGGTTTAGAAAAAATTAACAACTTGTGGCTTGACAATAATTTACTTCAAGAATTTCATGAAGATTTATTAAATGGCATTGCAATCGATGATTTAAGATTGAACAATAATAACATAAAATGTTTCGATGGTGATCTTGACAAAACTTTAAAAGCTAACACAAACCATATTGATTCTAATCCATTTGATTGTGATTGCTTAGAACAGATTAAAGAATGGTCAAAAAAGAAGAAAAATGTCGAGTTTTCTTTTGCTGAAATGGATTGTATAACTCAGAGATTTAAAATTAAAATGACTGCTTTGGAAAAAAGATTAAAGGAATTAAAAGGAATGACAGACAACACCGACGAAAGTAAGAAGGAGATTGAAGATGTCGAAATTTTTGAACCCAAAACAGCTTCTATAAAGTAAACATATAACTATTGTAACACATTTAATAATTTTAGCAATGTATCATTAAAATGAGTTGAAATATGGAATGATCCACAAAAAATTATTCTAAAATAAAAAGACCAAGTCACACATGTCGGACTGTACAATATTCTTCGTTTTTAAATAACAGTTTGGATTACTTTTAGAGGCTTGCGTAGTTACCACGGTCATGATCTGCGTCTTTGTTTTTGTTAGATTTTTTTGTATCACACATTATTAAAATTTGATAAAATTATTTTTCATTTTTTTTTTAAATGCCACATGTACAACAAATGCTCATAATATTTCAATACTAAAAAAAGTAAAATATGCTTTTCTTAAAACCAATAAATGTTTTAAATTAATAACAACCCATAATTGTTTTGCTGTTCACCATACACAAGAACACCTGTATCATGACGTAAGACTAGCGAATTCAAACTGAATATTTCACTTAGTTAAAACGCATAACATAAATGCCAATCTCAAATATTAAATGGCTTCTAGACTTTTCCGCCCAATACGATCGGCTCACACATCTTATTTGTTCTCAATCACATACTTTGATTACTGAGGCAAGAGGAAGGTCCGACACGCCCAACATAGGGCGCGGCCATTTTGAACCCTGTGACACAGTTTACAGCTAAAGAATCAGATCGCTCACTCTGCATCGGCACCTTTGATCTCAATGTTTCAGTTTATACACTGTGCAACTCGGATAATACAATATATAACAACCGCCTATAATAAAACAGCAGTCTTCTGCGTATCCTGAATTTGTATCCCTGGAGTGGATGTTATTTTGGAACTTTCAACTGGTCCGAGTGAGCTAACTGATTCTTTAGCAATAAACTGTGACTCCAAAAATAATATTCACTGACACCAGAGACAACTAATGAGACGGTTAACTCAATGCAATTTTGCTTTTCACCAATAATTGACTGGGCGATTGGACTGGAAGATAAGGCCGATGGCGCTGGTATACTTTGTGTTTTAATAGTGGCCTTTTTCTTTATAAGCAACCGGTCAAATTATAATTTTTTTTTTTAAAAAGAAGAACCGCGGGAAATTCAAATATGTAGATCCACTTTATCTATTATTTTTATGATTTTTTTTCTGATTTGATGCACTGGAAATGTGAATAAATATGTAATTCACATTTACTAGCACATCAAATCAGAAAAAAAATCATTTTTTTTTTAGGCACACAAAATAAAAAGCATTAAAAAGGAAAATAAAACGAAGTATGATTTCAATAATAAGATATATTCTGTATTAAACAATAATAAACATTCACACCACAAAGGTTCTACAATAAAATTGAAATACTTACTTTACGGAAATTAAACAAAATCCCGGCGTGATCCGAGCATTGTTAGTTCCTTCGGGTTTGTAAACAAACTTAAAACTACCTAATATGAAAATACCACGATAAAAATGTCATTTACCGGGGAAAACACTAAACTAACAAATTTAAATACGTAACTAATAATGAATGAAAAACAACAAAAAAAATAAATTTACAAGTTAAATTGTAAAATATATATAAGTAAAACGACACCAAAGTCACCAAACATAAAAACAAAAAATTGGACAAGGAGATAAAATGATAGGTTAGAAATACGTCAATCTGGCAGACGTCAAAGTGAAATGCTCGTGCTGTGATGCCAAACTTATTTTCTTCTAGTGCTATTGACTTTTTATTTTTGATCTTTGTACACAATCCTGCTATATATTTCTTAAAACACATCTTTTGTTATATATATTATATACAAAGAAATTAAAAGTCCAATATAAGTATTACTTATGGATAAATAAGATCATTATTATTTAAATGTAAAAGAAACAAATTTGGAAAATGTTCATAACGGCAACATTGCTGGAACGTTACCAGCGACATCTTCCCTATCTTTTAGCTTATGAGAACAAGATAACGTTATAAGGAAATAATGTACATGACAAAGATAAAATACCAGCTGACCCTGATGACTACTATACCTAAATGTCAATCAATTTTTGCTATGAAGTTAACCGTCTCGTGTTGTCTCTGCTGACACTGACAGCAGCAAGCAAAATATCAGGTGCGTTTTAATCATCTGCTTCTGCTTCCGGAATTGTCGGTTCAGTCGTTCTAACCTGTCAGATTAAAACAAGAAAACAGACAATTCCGAAGCAGAAGCGGATGATTAAAACGCACCTATTAAAAATATTGCGCCAAGATGTAGGCAACACGTAATAAGGGTTCAAAATGGCGGAGTTTTCTATCTCCTTTTAAAAGGCACTCAGAAAGCTGCGCAGTGCGACCATTCTCCGTATAGTAAAAGAAAATCAAAGTATGTGGTTCTCAATCGATTATTCAATAGCATACAAATTTGGTAACTGTCTCTCGCCATGTTCGCTTCGAGCAGGCAAAATTTCTTAGGTCTTGTACTATATTCATATAAAAATAATGTTTTTACTGTTTAGGAATAATTTTAAACTTAAATTAAAAAAAAACAGTCATACATTTATATTAAAATTTAGCATATCTCTCTTTAAATAAACAGATACAATTTGTGAATATACAGTGTAACACTTTTACTCAGATTTAAAAAGAAATAAATTTGAAACATCTCGATTTTCATTACATAAAGTGTAGAAGAATTATGAAGGAATTTGAAACACGTAAGACACGTACAAAAATTTAAAAAAATGTTAAAGACCCGTAAAAGACACGCAAAAGTCACATAAGAGACACGTAAAAGACACGTAAAATACCTTTTTTTACAAATATACAAATTTTGATTAGTGTAGAAACTAATAGGGCGAAGTTTTGCAAGACAATTTTGGAAATATGAAAATATTTAATCCTTTACGAAATTATAAAAAAATATTCTCACATCCTTAAAGTAAAAACCGTCCAAAAAAAAATCAATATATATCAAAATATATCAAATAAGGCTTCATTTGAATTTCAAAAAAATTACACGTATAGGTTTGTATCCTACTCTATTGATAAGTTATTATTTAATCAACCTGTTGGAAAGCTTTTAACTTCTGTCTATTTGACATTATTTTAAAACATCTACAGTGAGAATGCATTGGTTTTAAGAAAATGATTTCACAGGTCAATTTTTAATTTCAGCTGCGAGAAACGATTTGAGGATTCGAAAAAGCGCTTTTAAAAAATTATTTTTAATTTTATTAAAAACAATATTTTTGGTTGCTACTACAACGAAGGTTTAATTAAGAATGATTTACATTTGTTAACAATAAAAAACAAGCAATTACAAAAGTTTTGATTAACCTTTCGGAGGTCGCGCTCTATTTTAGGACAAGAACGGTCGCGCGCGGACTCTCAGTCCGCAGATGATTAAAATATATTTCTAAATAAAATCATATATTTAATTTTCTTAACGTTTATTTTACTTATAATAGTTGAATAATACAGTAGACAAAGAACAATATAAGATAAAGTAAAACCATATTTCACTCACTGTCATTGTCAAGAACTGAACATTCGCGACAAACATTTAAAGAGTGTTCCAAACAAATAAACTTTTCACATTTTACACAAGTAAATCGTGTAGGCCTGTTCTTTTTCCTGTCGCAATAGGCACAGCGACCACGCCTATCAACATCAAGTTGAGGTGGTGGTACCGCTAAAATTCTTCTTATTTGATCCTTTATGACGTTTGGAATATTTTGAATGAGACGTCGTCGAATATGGTCTTCAACCAACTGGAAGGATAAGGTTTGGAGGAATTTTCGTCTTCGAGTGTTCCACGTTGAATTGTTTGTTGAATATATAATGAAAGAATTTATTCCTGCAACATTGATCAAAGAATAAAAAAACTACCATTGGCCAGCGTCGGGTGTTTTGAGAAACATCATAAGCTGCACACAACTTATCTACGCAATCGACACCTCCTTTGGTTCGGTTATAATCCATTATTATTTCTGGCTTATTTGTGTTGTCATCTATCTCGTCTTCATAATGAATACCTGATAACAATAAAACATTTTTGCCCTTCTTGGGAATATAGGAAACCAAGGTAATGTTTTTTTGGAAAGCAAATATGCTTGAAAGAGGAGAGCGAGAGCGAGGAGGATTAGCAAATTCTTGTGACAGCTCTCTTTTGTTTTTTCTTATTGTGCCTAAGAGAGTCAAATTAAATTTTTTTTTGCAAATTTTCAAGCAGCTCTAAACTAGTAAACCAGTTATCAACTGTTACGTTTCTACCAGTTCCCTTTATTGGTTGACACAGTCTGGCAACAACATCTTTTGGCGAGTTACTCACTGCGAAAGGGCCCTCCGGTTGCTTACCAACATACACTTCCATATTTAGTGTATAAAATGTTTTGGAATCTACCAGTGCAAACACATTTATCCCATATCTGGCCGGCTTACTGGGAATGTACTGACGGAAATTGCAGTTTCCTCGGAATGCCTCGAGCTTTTTTCATCAATCGTTACATTCTCAAATGGACTGTAAGCAATTTTACAGTTAGCGATGAAATTCTCAAAAACTTCTCTTATTGGAGCAAGTTTATCATATTTCTTACGTTCGTCACGTGTAGTATAATCATCAAATCTTATATGTTGCAATAGGAAACGAAACCTTTGCTGGGACATCGTTAGTCGAAACACCTCCACTTCCGTACCATTTTTGCTCCACAGATCGTCAAGATTTAGTCGACTGACTTTAAAACTCCGGCTAAATAAAGAATTCCTATTCACGCCTTGATTTCTACCAAATCTGTGTTTTTGGCATCTCTTTCTCGCTGATAATCGGGACGTTTAGCTTGTATATGTTGATTCGTGCAATCTACAATTATATTCAAAATTACATTGGTAAAAAAGTGGGCCCAAATCTCCGATGCATTTCTCGAGTTTTTAACTGGTTGTTTTACACCTGATAAATGCTTTATCAGGTTTTCTTTCCTTGTCCTTCCGTGCATTGGAATTGGATGTTTAGACCAAATTGTTGTTTTGTTTCTTCCGACAAACATCTCCTTCG